GCGACACGCGCAGGGACCCCGCGGAGGCACCGTGGGTCCCGCCGCGCCAGCCGCTCTTTACTTACAGGCACCGCACCCCCAGCAGAGCGCCGCGGGTCAGGGCCTGCCCGCGCCGGGGCTTTATACCCACCGCGTTACGGCACATGGGGAGCAATCTACTAATAATAGTAGCGTGACAGTTACCCGGCGGAGCAAGGAGGAATCCAACCACCGACAGACCTGTGAGGAGGACAGCGTGCTCGGCTTAAACCACAACCTTTTTTTTTTTTAGGGAAACGTTGTAAAGCAGAGGCAGAAACATGATTTTATGACATCTGACTACATTCCTTTTCCTGATTAAAAATGACTTGTTTCCTACCTGGTCAATCGCAAGGTCTCCAGTGCAGAACTTCAGTCCTATCTCACTGCCATTATGTCTGCCACACTGGAACCTAACTTTCAGCTGGATTATAAATATTAGGACAATAACTGCATGACCTTAGGCTTTACAAATCTGAACAATGGTCACAGTTAAAATGAAATGTTTGTTTTCTGAAGGAGGAGTTCTGGAACTTTCCACCAGTGCCACCCTCAGAATAGCTGAAGCAGAGGCTTGTGTTACAGCAGGGCTTTCGGCTCTCGGTAGAGTAACAGTTCACTGGCTGTTCAACAGCACATGAACTCCTATAATGTATAAAAGACATTTTGGCTGATAAAAGCATATATACACTGCCCTTCTACAGCAGTAAGGGTTAGACACTTTACATGCTTCATTTCGTTACTGGTGTTACCCCACAAACACATTCTTGTTCCACAACTAGAGCTCACTGTAGCAGTTTGGTTTGGAAATAATCCTGAAAAAAAAATCATCTCCTAAATCCAAGAAATTCAGCATAGAGGGTTGAATGCAACTAAAGCATTCTGGTTAGTACCACAGGAAGGGATCTCACTGGCTGACCGGTCGACCACTGCTCGTGTAATACCACTTGCCTCTACTTTGCCTGCATCACGCCTGCAATGCACAACAGCCACCCTTAGGTTGGGGGTTTTCCCCATTTATTAAGGTGTCTGTCTGAAGCACTTTTTGACTTCCAAGATTAGAAACACCGATGTTTGGAGTTTTGTTGGGTCACTAGCCTGCATGTTGGAAATTTATCAATGCTGTGGACCATTCAATAGAAGGAAAATTTAACCGGTTGACAGAACCAGTTTAAACTGGACAGTTCAGAAGCTGTTCCCATTCAATTTTATTTTTTTAAGTATATAATAAATTTTGTAATAATTGTTTTTTTTGTTGGATTGCAGGGAGCAAATTTCCAATTTCAAGATCACTAACTGGTACTAAAACTCCTGCCATATTAAATAATTTGGCATTAGATTTCAAGAATTATGCAAATTCAAGTTTTAGATACAGTTCTATGAGCAACAGTTATTTCACAGAAATCTTTTATTTAATATACACAGCTGCAGTTCATTTAGGCAATAGAAAGCTCACACATACACTTACTCTGACACTGAATTTGACACGTTTAGTTTGACAGAAACCAAAGACTACAAAAGTTAAGTATAATCACCATTAAATACACATTAAAAGTGAGATTATTATTACAACTAGATAACAAATGATATAAATATTTGATCCTTTTGTAATCCCTACATATTCAACATTTCTGATCTCGGGAGTACAGTTAGGCAGAAGAAGATGGCTTCTAAATTGAACTTGTTCTTATTAGTATGGAAAGTGGCAGTCAAAACTAAAAATCTAAATATTATAAACTACATACTGATTTTGATTATGAATTCACTAAAGTAGAATTGCATCAAACTGCCATTGCTTTGGTGCAGCTCTGGCACTTGTGTTTTCAAACGCGGTGGACTTCAGAAAATCGTAAACCATGTGGCTGGTTCTCAACAGCTGTTCTGTACACACCTGCTAGCTCAGGTGCATACACCTTGGGTTGTAGAACTGATTGCAGCTCGGTGTTACAAGGAGACAGCTGTCTATCTCCCGTTTAAATTTATAGCTGACTCTGGAGTTAGGAAGGACAGAATATATGAATGCTTTTAGGGAAAAAGTCCAAAAAGACCCAGAGGAGATCAAAAGCCTACCCACATGTACCTGTGCATTTCTCTCTCCCTCTCTCTTTTTCTTCCTTTAACTGTTTCCGAATCAAATATATGTTAGTGGTATCTTACAGCAACTAGACACTTTAATTCCTATTTTGGATGGGAAACATATCAGTTCAATTTCCAGCTTGATTCTATGGACTTTTGAGAGCTGTACCAGTGCATACAAGTGCTCCTGTTTTAAAAGAGATGCAATTTTTAAGCCAGATACCGTCAGGTTCTTACCCATTTCCTAAATATTTCCGTGACCTTTTCCACTCTTCTGTTTAAAAAAGTATCCTTTCAGTTTCTACCAAATATTGACTTTTAAATTATCTGGAAACATATATGATTGCATGTGCAACACTGCTGCACTTTTTTCAAAAGCTTTTTGTAAATAATATCAAAATTGCTGACTTAAAAATACATTCACTTCTGTGAAAAAATGCAGTTGTTTTTCTTTGATGAATGTTAAGGTCTAATTTTTTTTTTTTTTTTACAATTTTATTAGACTATACAAACCACAGTGGACGTTTCCTTTGACACATCACAGCCTGCAGGTAATACAGTTACTGTGGAATACATCATTTACTCTGTAACTTCCATTTTCAGCTATTCTTATTGACTCTGAATCAAACTTGACTTTTCATATAATACATATAATACTGTTCCATATAATTTCATTCACAGATTTGCAAAAAGCTGCCAAAATACAGATACTTTTGAGCAAGTAAGTATGTTTAAGCTGATTAAGATGGGTGGAAAAAACCTTCACATTTCAGTATTGAAGACATTGTGGGGAGAAAAAGTAGAGTGTGGAGCATGGTGCCAAGTCCAGTAATAGTGGAAACAGGCCAACAGCAGCATTTGCAATTTCTGTTTTATTACACATAGAAGTACACTTTTTTAAAAAAAAAAAAATCAACTACAATCAGTTGGCATTTCACACAAGTTATATAGCACAATTTCGTTATTTTTTTATTTATCAAATGAGTACAACAAAGGAACAAAATGTCAGCTTCAGTAACATCTATGGAATTACACAGGCCTTCCTTTTCAAATATCATTGTTTGGGGTTTTGTTTTAAAAAATAAAAAGTTGAAATGTTTCTAATCAAAGTTTGTTTCAATATGCTAGATTTTAACAACATGCTTCTCAAGTATCTGAATATTTGGAATTAACTCTGTAATTACTCACTTGGTATTATTGTGACACAAGAGAGATTCTTGTGGTCTGGCTTTGTGTGGCAAAGCATATGTAAGTGTAGTTTGAGAGCCCAAGCTAACTATAAAACATTGTTTCAGTTTACAGAAATGCAAAGATTATTGATCACCATTATTTCTTACTGATAGCACGGTAAAAAAAACATACTGCAAGTTCCCTCATGCCTTCTTATTGTTCTGTGGTCCTCCTATCTCAAGTTCCATAGTGTTCCACATCCTGAGCCACAGTTTTGCATTGCAAATAAATGGCCACAATTGCTTAAATTTCCTCTTAAACAGACACCTGACTTCCTACAAGGAAGGGAGGAAGACAGAAATGGTTTTAATTATAAAACGCTGCCTTCAGTTCTGTTTCATGATTAACAAATCTCATCATACATCCTTACTTAAAAATATATTTTGAAATGCTACATATGAACTGAGAATGGTATTAGTCTATTTACCACCACCATAGACAGTACTAACAGTATTAGAAAAAAAGGAAAAGCTTTAAATTAATTGTTGAAGTTAGAATAGCTTTTTAAATATAAGTGCTCTCAAACACCTTCACGATGTTTAGATATTTTAAAATAAAGTAGAAAAAATGCATACTGGAAGTAATTCCTTCCCAAATAGTGCCTGCATTTCCTGCACCACTCTGTTACACTGTAGGACCAAACAACTGCTTACACCCACCCACACACACGTACGTAATTTCAGGGCAGCGGTAACATGCTCAGTTTTGTGAGTGTGATTACTTTCTTGCATGTGTCACAGGAAAGAGT